ATAGTAGGTACATGTTTAATGTGGGGCTTGAACTCACGATGCTGAGACCAAGACCTGAGCTGAGATGAAGAGTCGGACACTCAACCAACTGAGCCACCTAGGGGCCCCTATGCTTAACTTTTTAAAAAGCTACCAAATGGTTTTCCAAAGTGGTTACACAATTCCACATTGCCATCAGTAGAGTAGGAAAGTTCCCATTACTCCACATCCTTGCCAAAACTTGGTATGGTCAGTGTAGCAAGTGTGCAGTGGTTATCTTATGCTTTTAATCTGTATTCCCCTAATGACTAATGAAACTCAGCAGCTTTTCATCTACTTATTTGCCATATTTCCTTCAGTTTAGTTCAAGTAAAAAAAAATTCACAAACTTTGCCCATTTTTAAATTGGGTTGTTTGCTTCATGTTATTTATCCTAAGACTTAAAAAAAAAATCTAAATATAAGTCCTTTATCATGTATATATTTTGCAAATACATTGTTTTGCTGTTTCAATGTCTTCTGAAAAGCTACATTTTTAAATTTTGTTGAGTCCAATTTATCAACTGTTTTTAGTAATTTGGTTCATAGCTAAGAAATCGTTGCCAAATCCAAGATCTCAGAGCTTCTGTTTTCCTGAAGAAGTTTCATAGTTTTACTCTTTGAGTGTATGATTCATTTTGGGCTAATTTTTGTACAGAAGATTTTTTATTTTTATTTTCTTACAAATAGCTTTTCAAATATTTTAGTGCCATTTGTTGAATAGACTGTTATCCCCCCGCCCCCCGGCAAGTACCTTGGTATATTTTTATAAACCAATTTCTGGACTCTCCCTTCTGTTCCACTGATATGTCTATCTTTATGCCAATACTTTATAATAAATTCAAGTCATCATCATTTGTCTGGTACTGATGATGGTCTCTTATTTTTTCCCTTCCAGTTTTGTGACCCGTCAAGCTCACTCTCCAGAATTACAGCCAAGGTATTTTTCTTAAGTGCAAATCTGAATTCATCAGTCCCTCTCTGAGACCATGAGATAAAACCAAAACTCCATTAATTCGGTCTTTTGAATTCTAGCTCTAGTTTGATCTCATTTTTACTATTCCCTCATCCAAATTCAATGCTCCAAACACTGTTCTCTCTCACCCTGTGCACTTGCTGTGTGCTTTATCTCAGATGCCCTCATCTTCAGTCTCCCACTTTTGCCTGGCAAATACTCACCACTTCCCCTGGAATTCTCACCTGGACTTAAGACAGCTTTGACTGTTCTCACCTTGATGCTCATTCAACACTCTGATTAGCCTATCACACCAACTGGCACATTATTTTAATTACCCACTTGTCTTCCCTACCAGATCATAAGCTCCTTGGGATACAGCAGATGCTCAATGTTTGAATGAGTATAAAGATGAACAAGACAGTTCCTTGTTCTTCAGAAGCTCCCAATATGGTATGGTATAGTATATGGTAGGCAGAGCAGTAAACTGTATGGATCCTGTCACCCCCCACCCCACACATCCAATGCTTTCTAGGTCTGTTTCATAGTGCCTTGTTTCCTAGAAGGGATAACCTTTGTGTATTGGTCACTGTATTAAAATAAATCACTTGTAAGGATAATATGTGGAGGAAGCTATTCTCTTCCTAGGACTTCAAACTTCTATCTGCTCCTGGCCACCTTCTGAGGACACTGCCAGAGAACTCACCTCAATCCAAGTTTGGAGTGTGACATTCCCTGAACCACTCCAAGATGAAAGTCTCAATCAGGATTGTTTCCTCAGGTGACCTTTACTCTGGGGATGCTCTGCTGATTTCTGGCTTTAAATTAGTTCTGATGGGTAGGATGTTGGTGTAGTGGGTCAGACTCCTTGTTTTGTTTTCTGGGCAACATTCCCTGTCATATTGCTGACACAGTGGCTCAGCTTTATAATCTCCTCTCAATTGATAAATGAATGCCCTAGGGACGAAAGGATCGGAGTGCTAGCCTCAGCTCTCTGTTTAGTGCAAACGGAAAGACTAATTTCAACCTTACTCTCATTCACGAGGCCCTACACATCATCTGGTCATTGGCTGCTGCTCCCCCATTGCCTTGCTCTGAACCAGCCACAACATCATCTAGGTCGGCGTTCATCCAAATCCTGTCCCAGCTTCTACACTTGGGACCATGGTACTTGCCAAGAACTCACCTACAGCGTTTGTAATTTTCAAGCCATTACAGTTCCTCTTGCAGTCAACTCATTTCTGTGATTACCAAAAACTGCTATTTGTCTGCACCTTTTAGGGCTCATCACTTTTGATGTTGTATTGTTTTTCTTTCTTATCCCGCCTATAATGTAGGCCCTTTGAAGATATGTGCTTTCTTTTATCTGTCATCCTCCTTAGCATAGAAAGTACTAAGTACTTGCTCAATGCCGTTTTTAACCTTAATGAGTATGACTTTTACCTTTATGATCTCAGGTCGCCTCAGATATATTTAGCTTAGAACACTTATATATATATTTTTAAAGATTTTATTTATTTGACAGAGACATAGCAAGAGAGGGAACACAAGCAGGGGGAGTGGGAGAGGGAGAAGCAGGCTTCCTGCGGAGCAGGGAACCCCATGCGGGGATCGATCCCAGGACCCTGAGATCATGACCTGAGCCGAAGGCAGACGCTCAACAACTGAGCCACCCAGGCGCCCCAGAACAATTATATTCTTAAATTGTAAATATATTCTAGGTAACTAATTTACCTCAGCGATACAGCAAAAAATATGAGAACTTTTTTTTTAAATAAAACCAGTGAAGAATGGTTAATGATTTACTTCAAAGTAATTTTTTTCAGACTTTCTGGGGTAGGAAGGGTAGGGTGTTCTGCTGTGACACTTCATACAGATGGTGGTTTAGATGTAGGTTTCAAACCTGCTAGCACCTGAGTTTCTTTGGAAAAGTTAGTATAAAAATACAAGTACAATCAAATTAATTTAACAAAACATTTATTAAAATGTGTGCTACATGCTGGGGACACAAGCACCACTGAGATGCTGTCTCTTCTGTTAAAGAATCCAGGACAGAAAGCTGGTAATGGGTGGGAAGGGAAGAAGGACAAAGATGCCCTTGTAACTAATTTGAACTGGAAAAAAAGCAGATGAACATTCTAGGAACGTGGAAGAATGTTAACCAAGTACAGGTAGTCTTGTTTTGCTACCATTTATGGAACAAGGTGTGTGGATGGCTGAAGAGCAGCCTGGGAACACCAGAATCATGGCAATGGCACTGGAGGGAAGGGAGAAATTTCAGATACATATTTTTTTAAGATAGGCTCAACAGAGATTAATAATGAAAAATGTCAGAGAGGACTAGTAAGTAGTGGCAATTCTTCATTTGGATAACTAGGTTGAATGGAAATGCCATCGTGGGGGCGCCTGGGTGGCTCAGTCAGTTAAGCATCTGCCTTCAGCTCAGGTCGTGATCCCAGGGTCCTGGGATTGAGCCCGACGGGCTCCCTGCTCGGCTGGGAGCCTGCTTCTCCCTCTCCCACTCTCCCCGCTTGTATTCCCTCTCTGTGTCTCTCTCAAATAAATAAAATCTTAAGAAAAGAAAGAAAAGGAAAGAGAGAGAGGAAAGAAAGAAAAAAAGAAGAAAGAAAGAAAGAAAGAAAGAAAGAAAGAAAGAAAGAAAGAAAGAAAGAAAGAAAGAAAGAAAGAAAGAAGGAAAGAAAGAAAGAAAAAGAAAAGAAAAAAGAAAAGAAAAGAAAAAAAAGAAAAGAAAAGAAAAAGAAATGCCACCGTGACAGGAAAGAGAAGTATGTTTTGGGGGGTGTGAGAGGGGACATAAAAATTTTAATGTTAAGTTGGATACCTTTTCTGCAGGTTATAGCCATCCTTATTAGGTTCGTGCCTGATGAGTTTTATCTACCCACAATAGGTCCTTGAAGGCCAAGTACCTATATGAGAAGATAATTTCTACCTTAGTTTCTTATTTCAACTTCATTATTAAAACATTTCCACACTCCACTGAACTGGAAAGAGCACACAGGTACTCCCACTCATATATTTTGCCTTAAGCAAACATTAAAAAGAAACCTCATAAGCAATTTAAAATATTTATTGACAGGAATTCTCAGCAGGACAGATATAGAACCACTGTGGCCTTGGCCCATATTATCCAAGCATAGAAAACCCTTAGTTGTGTCATTTGACTTCAATTCAGTTCATGTTTAATTTTGCCATATGTTAAGAGTGAAAAGTACCAAGGAATATAGGGATTTCAACAGAATCATTTATCCACAGTGGCTTAAACCTTCTATGAGAGGTAGAAATTATTTTAACGATTATAATAAAGGGAGAGAGTGCCATCAAAGCACAAAGGAAGATGGATCTTGCATTTATCTAACCAGCTACTCATCTATTGTTGAGGGCTGCAGAAATAGCATGTAGAGATAAGGCAGTTTTATGGTAGAACAGCTACCCCAATGAGGAGTAAGGTGCTCCTGGGGCAGGCAGATCCCCCATGAATAGAAAACCTAGAATATCAGCAGAGCATATTAAATTTCTTCCTGCCATGAATAACAGAGATGCAGAGAGATATCCCTTCTTCTGTTTATCTCCTCTTCTCTTCTCATAGCTTCAGGAGCCACTCATCTAAGTAAGTTAGTTGATCTGTGTGTATATTCAAGAAAGAATCCCAAAGTTCTCTACAGGATATCCTTATGAATCATACAACTTAAAGTTCAGCAACACCAGACTCATGGTAACCCTAAGCAAGGGCCTGAGTCTCAATTTCCAGCTTTTCTGAAAACACCCATCTTTTAATCAGGACTTCTTTAAATAAAGCATGAAGAACCACTAAAATACACTGGGCTACACTACTAAGTAAACATGATCTGTTAAATGAGTAAGTGCTTTAGTGACTATCTTCATTCTGTTGCACTTATTTTTGGAAATGGGCATTTTACTGTTTCCATAATCCTTGGAAGATCACAGTGCTTTGTAAAGAGAAACTACTACATAAGTAAATCTTTATATTATTATAAACTACAAAGAGATTTAATATCTATCCAATTTAATATTCAAGTCTACATAAAATAAATCAATGACAACTGCTTTATTATTAAAAGTTACTGAATTCCATAAAGCACACAATGTAATTTATATTCAACTAACAAAAGTTTGATACATGTATTTAAAAATATATAATATATAGATTTATGTCTTAACATTTATATTCTATTCAAAAAGCAGTAGCTTTACATATTTTACAACTTGAATTTATAAAATATATATACATCCACCCTATTCAAACCTTGAAGCATGAGCTTCCATTCCTATTAATAAAATGCACAATCTGTATTTCTGAAAATTGAGAGAAAAATGGTACCAACTAAAAACAACAAACCCATTTTAACTTGAACATGGACTTCTTGGCTACTAGATAACTGACATAATAATCTTTTTGAATAATTATTTTACCCTGAGCCTGATAATCAATATTTATGTCAATAATCTGTGGTTAACTATGAAAAGACTTGCATTTATTTTCACAGTGTCTGTCAATCTATCACATTCCTTACTCGACTTGTTTCAGGCTTTAAAATTAGAGAGGTGGGATTATTCAACCTTTCCATTTACCGTGAAATTTGACAAGTGATGTCACACCTAACAAGCCAAAGCCCAGAACCATGCTTTGCCTTTGAGAAAGCAGCTTAGAATTACTGCAGAAGCAAACTTTTCACAAAACCCTGACAATGTATGCATCAAGAAACTGTTTCTCTTTTTCCCTGTCAACTGCACTCAACTTGCTCAATTACAATTCTTTAGGCATGTTAAAATATACCAGCTTCTATTCAGGCATTCCTTCCACATATTCAAAATGTCTTCAGATATTATATTGTTTTATTAAAAAATTTTCATAAAAAAAAGACATTCATGTAACCGTTCTGGAGATTCATCCCTAAATGTAAATCCCAGTAACATTTGAGAATTAAAATCACAATAAACACCTCATTTACAGGACCATAAGAAGCAGAACTTCAACTTTAAGGATAAAGATCTAAGTTTGAAGTACATATTTAGACTCCATGGGCCTCTGGAATGATGCATACAAGCCTGTCTTTAATGTAGTTTATGCTAAGAAAACAAAAATCTCCCACACATTTGGGGGAAAAAAAAAAAAGAAAAGAAAGTTCCAAATCTCAAAATGGCTTAGAAACCTTAAATGGAAAAACACTTTTACCAAAACAAATAATTTAATACATCTGGGCAATGATTAGGCTTTGGGAGAGTCACCATCCAAAAAGTAAACAAAACTCCCTCGATATTAGTATTTAAGAACTACATTACTTAGTTAACAGCTCATTTATCAAGTAGTCAATTATTCAACACATTTAGCCACATACTGATGAACCGAAATAAGGCATCAGAAATTCTATGTAGTTTATTTGTAGAAAGGAGTCTTTTTCTTTAAGAAAAATTTCTGATGTAATTTCAGTAATCTTCCTTCTCTGGATTCCCTAACCTCAAGAAAAGGAAAGGGGAAGAAAGGGAGGAAGGGAGGAAAGGAGGAAAGGAAGGAGAGAGGAAAACTTAGGGAAACTGCTGAAGACTGACATATTGGACGGACATCTTTGAAGAGAAAGGAAGAAAGAAAAATGAAAGAGAGAGAAAAACAAACAAAAGACTGCAAAGAAGATTAGGACCAAGGGGTGCAGATTAAGAGACACCTTCACAGATCTTAATCATGCAAAGGCACTAGCATTAACACAGAATCATGCAGTAGCTGATTTTGTAACAGTGAATCCTCAGAAAAGATATGGGAAAGCCTCAGTTCTTTTTGAAAACCAATTTATATACACTTAATAAATCCTAAGCATTCAGCCAAAATATATACAGGAAACTAAATAAAAGTGAGATCAAGAAATATAAGCAGCAGTAACCGTAAAGGATTAGAACTAGTGACACTGAATTCTTTATTTAAAAAAATTCCGAACACACAGTACCTCCTCTTCTCTTCTATCTTTAGGAAGAAGCTTTAACAAGTTTTAAATATCTCAATTCTCAAAAACAATAGGCTTTTTAAAAAATGAGACTTGATTACCGATCAAGTAATTACCGAAACAAGTAATATGTGGTTACATACCATTTGCATATCACTACTCATTTCCATTATTTGTCAGTTCATCTTTGATGCAATCTGGAAATAATTAAGCAGTCACTAGATACCTGTTTAAGAATCTGAAGAAATTATTATTCACCACAGGAATCTAATGATATATATGTGCATATATTGAAAATTTCAGAAGGGAAAAACTAATAAACTACCCTAGTTACTTTATACCAAATATTTATATGCCTAGTCAAAACAATAAGGATTAAGATCTTTCTCCAGATGAACTGTAATATAAGAGCTAATTTTTAGCATTTTCTTTTGGGGATTAAAAAAAGCTTTATTTCCTTGCTAGCTAAAAGGAGGAATTCATCCACTACAAGTTAAGTCCTTTAGAGGTGAATATTAAATTCCTTAAGAGAACAGCCATAAAATTTATTTTAAAAAATTTATCTTAAAAAAACTGAAAACCATTTCTCTCTTTAAAATCTATGGCATTAATACCTACTTGATGTAAAGTATTTTTTTGAAGGGCACCAAGTTCATGATCTAAGCATGCAAAATAAGGAAATGAATATATCACTGTCTTAACAGAATTTGGCAAACCAGAAGAATGGCCTTAAAATAAATAAATAAATAAATAAATAAATAGAGTACACATTGTCTAAATATGAAAGTATAGTTCTGCAGGCCTATGCAGCAGATTGTGCCCCATAGAGCAAGGGAAGAGGGAAGTAGCATAATCCTATGTACATTTTCTTGGTATTCTGGTTGTCGTTCAACAACACAATACAGAGAAATATTCTTTTTATTATTACAAAGTCATTAAATGCCCTCTCAAGAGCAATGACTTAGGTAAACGGCTTATGTCTTTTAATAATGTAACTTACATTTAAAATTAACTTAATTAAATCTAAGTGCAAAGGAGTTTCCAATAATTCCTAAGTTCAAGGGAGTATTGTAATGAATAAGGTGTTATCTTACTGCAAATTCTGAATGGTTGGTATTTCATCTTATCTTCTCTTTAATAAAATGTACTGAAATTATTTGGTTTCCTTTACTTTCCTCTACTTCTTTTTATTTTATGGTATCTCTATGCAGAGAAAGAGGTATGTTAAAATACTGCTTCTTTTATTTTAAAAAACTCAACTGAGGCTATATAAGACCTATTAATCTATAGGACAGCATTGTTAATCTTTGACCTGGTATATTAATTCCTTTGGCGAATAAATGTCACAGGTCATTTCTTTATAAAAGAATTTTAGTAAGAGGACCAGCAGTACGGAGAAAGATCCCCCACCCCCACCCCGGAAAATGATCAAGTCAATCAGTAGTTTAGAGCAGTTGTGTAAAATATGAAAAATATATAATTTGCCGCTGCAATTTTCATATTAAAAAGCAGTTAAAAACTAAGAGTAGCTCAAAGCATTCCAAAAAACACTTTCTGTCTTAAACAGGCCAAATGATCAGACTGATAGAGACTATTATGAGAACTTATGTGTATCTAGTCAAGAAAGAACAAAAATGTGTTTAATTTTAAAAAGTGTAGTTGCTAACTATAGTATAAACAGTGTCCACAATTTGGTGGCTGGCCATAGTTTTAATTTTTTTTTTCAAGTTATTTCTACAGCAGACATATTTTTGAAGTCTACCCACCCCTGAGTTCAGCAATTATACTTTTAGAGTGTAAAATTATATGCCCTTAATTAACAACATGTACAAAGCTACAAAATGTCATCTATACAGAGATTAAAAACAATTTTGAAAATATTCCTTGCCAATTATTGATTGGATGTTTTGCTGGGGTACATACTTCAAAGCTTTCAGCCAACTGGCTTTTATTTTTAAGCCCAAATTGATTCATATATTTATTCACTGCAGGATATGTCAAAAAGAGTGCAACAAGAGGCATTAGTAAAAATAACATTGTAGTAGAAACAGATTTTTGCATATGTGAAAAGGTAATTTATAAAATACATAATTGCTTTTTAAAAAGAGAACCTAGTTGCAGTATCATTAACTTACATGGTACTGAGAATTGGACGTTTCAACAATTTTTTTCTATAGAAAAATTTTACCTAGCTGTAAGCAAAGTCTTTCAAACAACAAGAAAACAAAATAAAACAAATCCCTCCAGGAAAAACTGTATGGTTGTGTGAGACAAATAAGAAAACATACCATTCTATAGTGTACTTTTGCCTAAATTTTAAAATAAAAATGTCCACACTCTTTTGTTAAAACATTAAGCCTCTGTCAAAAATGTATTTCTTATTTTAGGGTACAGGATTAAAGGACAAAATGATACTTACAAGTAAAGAAAAAATTACAAGAAAAAACTTGACAAAAGCTTTTCAATTGAAGTACTGTAACATTCAAACTTGACTTAAAACATAACAAAAGAAACAAAATTGCAAACGAAAACTCTTTATGGATTTTCCAAACATAAATAAATGAAATAGTGTTTAGGCAGTAGGGCTCATGCTGATGGCTAGCAGGAAGTAACAGAGTGTAATCTACTTGGAAATATCGTTACTGTACAAACAAGCCCCGATTAAGGACTGCAGCAGTTTCATCATCACTGCCATTGTTCTTACTTCCAAAATCAAGCCTTGATTCAACCATTCATACCCTAGATTACTCATACCTTTACTTCTGAGATTGAGGAACTATATACAACAAATGAATTTATTTTCACCATAGGGATAACAATATTGTACCTCTCTGCCAATGTTACTTGAAAACCTTCCATGTCAAAACAATTTGACAGCAGATATAAACAATTCAATAAATACGCAATGATCTTTCATTATAGTCCTTTAAAGACGCATGTTAATTCATGCTGTTAACCTTAGGATCACAGTGCATAGAACCCAAATATAAACAGTTGGGGTGACTTTCAAAGTAATGTTGGATCCCTCACTTTATTTATAATCCCACTATAACCAATAAATTCATTTCATAGGCCCTATCATGCATTAATTATTGGGTGGCAGGAATTAATGAAAATTTTTCCTATTAAACGTCCATTGCCGGCAATGAACGTCCCAAAACCGCCAAGGAAGTCATTGTTATTGCACAATACATGAGGACCTGGAACTTTTCCAAAAGCTTAAAAAAATAAAAATAAAAAATGGAATTATATTGACATTTCCTGACACCTGCATTAATACTGTATGACTAATAAAAGCATGTCAGTTGCCTGGACTGAACCAGCGATCAACATGCGCCCAGAATGCACACGAGTAAAAATGCAGTAAAAGGAAGTAGTCTTCATTGCCTATAGGTCACTTCCAGTCAAAGGTTAAAGTTCAAAGACTGAATGATCAAAGTGCTCATTTTCTCAGTAGGACTATCTTCTGCTAGGAGGATGATAACAGTGGCATCAACAAGTATCATCTTTAAGAAAAGGAGAAAAAAGATAATTAAAAAAGTCAAGCATGCATAAGTAAAACCCACACGTTAGTCTAACACAGAAATAATTTCAAGAAGAACATGGTTTACATGTCTGACTTGCCTCCCCAATCCTTGCAAACAAAAAGTCCAGTTTGTGTTCAATTACATAGTGACAAACAAATCACGTTCTATACTTTCACAGAAATAGTTCACACAAATCTTAAATGATGCATCAGTGTGTTAGTTCTATTTAATATTAAATTGATATATGTTAGCACATATTCAGGATTTATCAGTCTTGAAGAGTTCTTTTATGGGCAACAATTTTAAGTTGTAACGAGACAGGAAGTAAACTCCTGACCAACAATGTCATGGTATTTAACACAGGATAATGCAAGTTGTGTCTTTAGTCTATAAAGGAAATAATTTCACAAATGAGGTACAATTACCAAATCAATTAATACATACTTAATGTTAATTTCTCTTTAGAAAATACATTTAAAAATACATTTTTCAGCAAATATAGATACATACACAAATGAGGCCATTAAAAAAAACCCCACAGATTTAGTAATGCCTTCTGGTAGCCTTAACACATTATGTAAGATATATAATTATGGAGTTCATAACTTATTTTACAAAATTATTTCACAAGACATATCTGAAGGATTTATTTTGAGGACTGGTTACTCTTCAGAAAGCAGCTTTAGAAAGAAGCAAGACTAGTGGCAACTATCCAAGAGTTGTGAAAGCTCTCAAAGACAGCATTGCTGAAAAACTGGCCAAAATATTTTACAAACTATCCCATGTTAGGATTGATACACTGTTAATAAAAATCCCCATTTCCAATGACTCAGTGAGAACTAAAAACCAATAAATCTGATTTCTGCGCTGGGCAAACTCGTAGAATATTCCATCACTCTATTTTTTTTTTTAAAGATTTATTTATTTGACAGAGAGACACACAGCGAGAGAGGTAACACAAGCAGAAGGGGTGGGAGAGGGAGAAGCAGGCCTCCCGCCGAGCAGGGAGCCCAATGCGGGGCTCAATCCTAGGACCCTGGGATCACGACCTGAGCCAAAGGCAGACACTTAATGACTGAGCCACCAGGCGCCCCCCATCACTCTATATTTTAATGGAAATCTAAAGGGTGAAATATACTAGATTTTTTAAAATAAATCTTATCTTTATCTAAATCATTAGAATTCTTTAAAGAAAGAATATCTTTAAGAAGAAAATAAGCAGATAGTCTACAGCTTCTAAGTGCCACATGAAAGTATCCGTTTCTTAAATTACTGTGGAACTTGGAATAAAGAGGAGATATGGATGTCATGGATGCAGAACAAACAAGAATGTAAAGAGGTTCCTTAAAACATCACTCTTCCAATAGAGTAATTTATAACCCTAGGGTCCTTGAAAAAACTAAAACTAATCACACTTAGACCTCTAAGCTAAGAGATGGCACTAAATTCTACCTAACAGGTCAAACCTTAAGTATTCTACCACATGACAATGTATACAATAAGAAAAGTGAGACAAAATTCAACTTGAACATCATGTACCTAATTAACCACCAATAATAAGCTTTTATCTCCAAAGATGTATCATCTTTGATAGATGATAACATAAATGTATCTACATCAGGATGTTCATTCTGGAAGTTTTCCAGTATAGTAGGTTGTTGTAGAATGTTCCACAATCCACCAAAATGATTAAGAAATCCATATAAAGCTATTCTCCCTAGCCCAATCCCTACCTTGGATTAGATGTTAAAAAAAAAAAAAATATATATATATATATATATATATAGGACTAATACTCCCTGCCTTGAACACTCTATCTTTAGAGAAATAAACTTACTAAGTGAATTTTGAAAATGGAGTTCTATTATCTGATAGCTGGACCCACAGGGACACACGGACTTACACATTACAAATCCATCATGGTTCTAAGTAATCAAAGAATCTATGAGCAAATACTTAAGTATGGAGACGAGTATGAGCTAAAGCCATGGCTAACTCTCACCCAAATAAAAAGGGCATCACTAAGAAGCAAAAAACTCATTTGTTAGCAAAAGGAAGTTTCCTAGATAGATGAAAAAAAGATTATTGAATACCAAGATGGCTTACAAAAAAAAGTTTTTAGAGTAAACCCATCTTGGATCAAAACAAATATAAGTCTATAAAACGTGATCAGGGTGCCTGGGTGGCTCAGTCGTTAAGCATCTGCCTTTGGCTCAGGTCATGATCCCAGGGTCCTGGGATCGAGCCCCGTATTAGTCTCCCTGCTCAGCGGGAAGCCTGCTTCTCCCTCTCCCACTCCCCCTGCTTGTGTTCCCTCTCTCACTGTGTCTCTGTCAAATAAATAAATAAAATCTTAGAAAAAAAAACCAAAAACGTGATCAAAGAACACAATATATCTAACCTCTTGGCTAAAGTATATGTAGCAATATGAAGGTCTGAAAAAAAGAATCTCAGATTAACCATTTAATTTTTTTTCTGAAAATGCAGAAGCCCTTATTAAAAGTATACCCTCGAATGTAATATACAAATAACCAGTTCCAAAGAGATGATATCTACCATGGTTAACTTCACTGGACTTCTGGGAAATACGAGTGAGAGAGAACTGTATTATAGAAGAAAGTCATTTAGTTTTCCCCAGAGTATAAGAACCATCACATTTTAATGGACATCACAACCATCACATTATATTGGAAACTACCTCCCTGGATATTCCCAGAGACTAAAGACTAGAAGAAAAGGAACACAGCAATAAGTCAGTAAATATGAAGTGGGATCCCACTTCCAAGAAAGGCAAAAATAAATCTTTACATGTAAGTTTGTCTCTCCACAGTTTAGGGAATTAAAGTTTTCTTTTGATGAACCAACTTAAGAAGATTTCACAGAAGACAACAGAATTGTTATCCAGAAGGAAATAAATGGAAAAGTCTGTTAGACTGAGTAAAATTTGGACTTAGGAATTTAGAAAGTGATTCTGTAATTCTAAAAGGTAGTGATAATATAAAAACGTTCACAACTAACAGGTATTCTATGGACAGCTATAAGACAGGAAGAAAGTTTGTGAATACTAGTCTGAGACGATTTTACGTTCCTATCACCTTATAATTCTTAGAATTCTACAGGAAATGTTCCAGCTGAAAGGAACCAGAATGTAGTCTATAGTTTTGTAAAAAAAAAAAAAAAAAGAGAGAGAGAGAGAGATATTCCTCTATTCCTCCCCAAATTTACAAACTCAACAGTTTATTGGACATAACATCTAAACATCATGCCAATCTATTTCCTGTAAGCCTAGTTTTCTGAAGCCAATACTCAATTAGTCTTAAGCTTTACTGCTCAATTCTCTATCACCTTAAGGAAAATGCTTCAGGAACCAGATCAGTACTGCCATCTGTGGAAAGCAATCATTTATGAAACTAAGTTGTTTATGTTCAATTTGGATCCCAGGAAATAGATGGATCATTTTATTAATGGATTCTATTATCTTATTGAAATATTTTTATGATCCCATTAAAAGATACTTTTTATCTTTTTCAAGAAGAATTATGTCTATTTTATGATTTTGAACTTTGAGGCTCAATCATTCATTCGTGTACTAAACTGTATACATTTGTTTTCTACGGACCATTCTAGCCCTGAATTATAGGTAAATTCCTCAGCCCCTTTGTATGCTGAAATGAGTTGTCTATTCAAATACTTATTTGGTTAGTTCCCTTTACTCATTTATTTTCTTAACCCTATTCTGTTTAATTGATTTTTCAAAGCATATGGACCCCTGGCTAAATTTTCAACACAGAATGTTTGCATTGCAGATATGACCTTAATCCTTCAGTGAATAGAAACTATAAAAGAATTCTGGAAAACAGGTTGATAGCAAACTTCAAGTAAGTAACAATAAGGAATATGTATTCACATTATCAGTAACTTTTTACACTTTAATAGGAGCTAGAGAAGAAGCTCAAAAGAAATGCAAAAAGAAATGAGTAAGCTATGATACTACAAGTAACAGTAGGGTAGCAGTGACTGGCCTACATTTTCAAGATATACTAACAATGTGGAAGATAGTTTAAATTGAAAGAGGCTTTTTTCCCAAGAACTCAACACTGGTATTTGGCAGCTCGATTTTGGTGTATCAGCGGAATCCTACTCTTCTAAAACCAGGAATTGCCAAATTACTGTTTTTCATTAATAGTGCATCCATCCTGCATCCAGGAAGCCCCCTCTGAAGCAAACAGATTATTACGAATCTAAACCCAAACCTTTCTTGCCTCTTTGATTACAAATACTGACAAACACTCTGACCCAAGTATGTTGGTTAGCATCATATAGGACTATGGAGCTTGTACCTGAGGTCTACAATTCTGCTTGGCTTCTAAAAACTGAAATGTTAAGTGTTTCAGTAAGTTCATCCAATTCCATGCAAGACTTTGTTCAGTCTCTGATATTTTTGTTTAGGTCTGCAGGTCACATCAGGACTCTAATTTGACCTTATAATCCTTTCAGAGTTAGATGATACTAATAAATAACAAGAGTCCATATTTCTTGGTAATTTGGTGTTATAAGGAGAACATGATTAATCAATGAAGATCTTTTTGGAACTAAAGCAGTTAAACAGAAAAACATAGGCTGACATCTGGAAAGCTCAAAAACAGAGTTGACATGTTTTGCTTTATGAGTGAGCATGAATGCTAAGATTTTCCAAATTCAACTATAAGGCCAAGGTGAACTATTTTTCACATTGCTTTTAACTCACTCTGAAATGTATAAAGGCGAAGAGAATATATGCTACACAGCTGAAATGCTTTAGTTTTTTAAAGGTGAAGGAAAAATTCAAAGAAGATTGTCTACACCCATTCCCCTTTATGAAAGAGCAGTTGCTCTATGATCTCAAAGTATAACTAGTATTACCTGTCCTTGATTTCATATGAGGGTCACTCATGGAGCAAACTGTTGATTTAAAGAGAGATTCTGGGAGGGGAGGGGAACGATTCAGATAGTCAGGGTTCAAGCATGAGCAGAAAACATATTGAGATAAGAACTGTCACTGTTGGTCAATAAACTGAGGATGTTTTAAACACAATTACCTGCAAATGAAAAAAAATGTATCTGTACCTGGGACCAGAACCTGAACTAAAAGTTCAGTTGAAATAGAATCCAGTCCTTTTAAAGATGGTAATTTGTATTTGGGGGTGGGGGGGGGTGACACTTTTAATCTGTTTATTGATAAAATGAATTCCTACACAAACCCTAGACTAAATTTAGTTTGAAAGGCCTCTCTTTTCTTGGTATTTCTTTGCTAAGGCGGAGAATTTAATAGTTTAAACTATTAAAAGACTTTTTACTTTAGTCGTGAAAGTATAAATTTCTTGGTTAACAGATAAAAACTACTATGAAAAATAACATATGAAGTGTATTTTATTTCGAAGAATTTATTTTATATTTCTAGTTTCACTATGTGACCTTTCTCCATTTCTTATTCAAAAGCATGTAATGAGAAATTCTGGAAATATTCTTAGATAAAGGACTTCTCATAAATCCTTTCAACTATATAAGGCAGCATTAGAGGGCCTGAAAGATTGTAATCTTTCTGAAATTTCCCTACCAGGGAGGAAGGAAGGGGAAAAAACAGGAATATATTGTCTAACATTGGGGCAGGATAGAATGGTAAAGAAGGTCATACTTCCAAAATATATGTATTTTTAAAGTTCATTACTCTAAGACAATTTCTTCTTAAGTTTTATTAGAAAACTCAAGTGGTTTAAAAACACAATGGAAGAGACAATGGGGGATTTTTCTATTATTAGTGAAGTTGTGTCTGAAATAGAATGACTATACTGTCTTTAGAACTTTGACACTTTAAAAAAGGTTTGATTTAGTTGTGTTTGTCAATATTCTTGATTGACTAATCTTAACTTTTTATGAATCTGGGAACTTTCTATGCTAAGACCAAAGGGTCTGTGACACTCAAGGTCCCCCCCCCCCCCCAAGAAGGGCTCCTTGTAAAGGTACAGAGCAAAGAGGCAGTTTGGTTTTCGGTCCCAAAAGGCAAGAAGATGAAAAAGAATGAGAAGCCAGCAATGTAAATTGAAGTAAAGGGCCGTTTTCTTAAAGTAGAGTCTTGTTAAGTGTTTTAGTAGACCTTCAGTGCTCAGAAACAATTCCTTTAAGTCTGATTAATTCATTTTATACGGAAACTTGTCTTTTTATATCTCAGAATCCCTGAAACAGTAGTTCTCAAGTGACAAGCTCCATCAGAATTATCTGGGGACCTCTTAAAAACTAAACAAAACCAGCATTCTAGGCACAGTAATAAAGTTTATTAGATTCCTTAAAAGAGAAAGTAATCAGCAAGACTTTGGTGAAAGAGTTCCCAAGAGGGTGTGTTGTAGGGGAAGGATTCTTTGAGGCAGGGTGCTTTTGTGTGTGCCCGTGCAGGATTCATTCCAGGAAAATAGCACACGGGGGAGAAGAAACAGAGTATATTATAATGCTCCACTGAACATTCCATGTATAAAACACGTCTTGTTATAAAGATGATTTTCTTAGGATGGACTCTCAGAAGTTTGGTAACTAAGACAAAAGGCTTGATCTTAAATTTTAAGCTTGTTAAATATTGCTGCACTTGCTATAACATCAGCAAATATGAAAGTACTATTTTATTCTATCCTTTACTCTTTTCTAGCACTGCACTCATTTTACTCAACTCTGCCAATTCTGTAATAGTTTCAAAATACTAAATCTGTAATTACTGCAAACTTTTTGGCCTATACTTTTAATTAACTGTATTATGTTAAGCCATTTTCATAAATCGTCTTTATTTTTAATAAGCTATAATTGTTTTTCACATTTTTAAACCTTATGTTGACTGTGCTTTGAGGTTTTTCTAAAAGGTTTAAACTTTCATATAACTATTTAATTTCTTTGTGATTCCTTTTAACCTCAGAAATCCTTCCTCTGAGTTGATACTCAGCTTAAAAAAAAATTTTTTTTTCTCTAGTTGTCTTAAAAAAATACTTAACCCACAGGAAATAATTTACACATGAAGTAAAATGTAAATTTTTCTTTCTCAAAATGATTACCAGCTTCCTAACAGGTAACAGAAAAATTAGTAAGTAATTTTTCTCCTCATTGGTTTTGTGACAAACAATTTACTATATATTCAGATCTTATATATAAATCTATTTTTTCATAGCTCTTACAAGTTTTGTCATTTTTTTCTTCTAGGTCATCTATAGTTGTCATTAACATCAGCTGGAATATTTATCTTTTAGTTGGCTCTCAAGAATGGCATTCTTTCACTGTGTTTTCTAACCTGTAACTGCTAGCATAGTGCTATTGTATTGATTCTAATCATCACTTATCAACACCTGACAGAACTCTTATAATTTAAAAAGTTTTTAAATGCCTCAAGTTAACTCAGTTAACAAGTTTCACAATGGATAGAAAGGTAAGGGGGAAAGGCCATATTAGGCTAACATTTAAAAAAAGAAAAATAAAGGAAATGCTTTTATGGATACAAAAAAATCACAGGGGGTGGCTTTGTTCACATACTTCAAAAAGTACATTGAGGAATATAAAATTTTGTTTTGCATTTCAAATACACCTCTTTAGGGAAGCAGTGAGATCAGTTTAGAAAAGATGCTTGCAGTTTTCAATTATAAAGCTATTAGCACTCTCCCAACAAAACCAATAAAACAAAATCAGTGAGAGTACTTGTATTCATATAGCTACAATCAGGAGAACCACAAATTTTTGAGGACTAACTATTAGAACAAGAAGAGCTTTCTTTAATTAAATGGGTCATCTCTCACAATGTGAACCCTCTCCTGCCACTAAGCACAATACCAGAACTAAGTAATTTCAAAAGACATCAAAACTTCTATTTCAAGTAATAGGTTTCCCAATAACTAATTCCAATTTCATCTGAAGATTATTAAGGACCCTGTTTTAGTAATAAAATGGTAGCGTTTCAGAATGTTAAAGCAATTTTAGATTTTACTTGTATGGTAGCTATGATTTTATGTGCCCCATTAAAAATCTAGTCCAATGTCTCCATTTAATGGCTTAATATTTTAAAGACTCTTCTCCATATTACAAAAATACATCAGTTATATATTCCCTTCTTTTCCCAAAGCAAACAGATATATAGTCCTTCAAACCAAAATGCTAAAAAGTATCATTCTAAAATAAAACTGCTTACCATGATACCACCATTTTGTTTTCTTTGGATTCTTGTTACATGTTCGAACATAAAAAGAATTATCTGGTGGTCGTCTCTGAAACCAAAAAGAGAGGTTGTAAAATGGAAGAAGATTTAAGAAGATAGTTTTAATAAAAGCTTTAGAAGAATTATTACAGAAAGTATAAAAACAATATAAATGCCAATGTGGCACAACTGAAATAATATATTGCAGGAAAAGTAGACCCTTGACACGGGAATTAAAAATAAATAAATAAACAAACAAACAAACAAACAAACTAGGGGTGTGCATGTGTGATTTGGATTAGGTTCCAGTGGGATTACTAGAGAATGACTATTAACCCAAAGTGGAAGCTTTAGGTTTTAAGGAATTTTGGTTTCATTTATTTTATCTCCCGAGAAACAATTTGTAATTACTTTTGTCAACTAATTAAAAAACAGAAAAGTCTATCTAACTAGGTTTGTCTGAGAAACTAACAGCAACTTATAAACCTCCACAATTACTGTTTTCCTGTAAGGTAAGTATCACCTAAGACAGACCAAAGGATTCAGTTTCCAAACAATATGTAAGAGGAAAAAGGGGGAAAAGCTATATTGGCATTTCTACCATATATATGCCCAGACTAGCACAGTATTAGAAACGTATGGCAGCGCTGCAAGGGAGCTTCAGCAGAAACAGTGATGCCAACAAAACTGAAGACAGATTTTGGAAGGCAATTTCCCTGAAAACTGTTGGATATTGATCAGACAAAAGAAGTTTAAGTGACTCTCTACAAAAATCTGGAAACATGTCAAATTTGTATTAAAGCTACTGAGTGCAGGTTAGTAGCTAAGTTAGTAGATCGGTCCAACCAAAAACCAATGATAAGTAGGACTGCCTAGACAGCAGATAGGGAAACAGGCAGTCCACTTGGCACTTCCACAACTCATGTACATAACTCTGATCTTAGTTGAACCTAATAATGCCCTTACAAGTTAATATTAATAGTAACTTAACAAAAGGGAAGAGTATAGCATAAGATGTTGAACAACTACCCCAAGATTACCCTGCTGATAGAGTTTCAGAAAATATATGAAAAATTAGCATCATGAAATTAGATAACTGACAACTTCAAAGAATAGATAATCTGTTGCTGTCTGTCCTGCAAAGTCATAATCTGTGTTCATGTGGAATAAATTGCTACCACTGCAACAAATAATTTCATAAATTCATTTTCTCTGTATATTGATTAGAATCCAATCTTAAAAAAAAAAAAACACAACCCAACCAATCTTCAAAAAGAAAAACACACTCATTCTAAGAATATAACCAAACTGATTAAGTGATCATGCAGATTTGGTTCTTAGAAAATAAAGTAACTATACAAAAAGATGGATTACCAAAATTGTTTTAGGAATTGAATACAAGCTAGAAAGTTTGGAGTATCTATATTATAAGGGCACTAAGAATAAATGGTAGATTACTGAAAGACCTCTCAATATCAGAAATTATCTTTAATCTACTGAAATCTACTGACATGATGGATTTAAAGGCCTTCAATTAAGGGAACCATCCTTGACTATGAAAAAGAAAACTGGAATGAAAGAATTATGACTAAATCAAAGTTCCCAAATGCTTATAGTAAAAATTATAATTTGTATTCAAGTCAAATATTAAAGTGAAACTCAGAGAACCACAATGACCAGAGAATAAAATTCACCTGTTTTAAAAGAAGAGTTTTTGGTGAGTAGTTAGAAGACTTTTAAAAGCTTATTTGGAGCTAGATCCCCTCAGTGCCAAAGCAAGTTTCCTCTTCATCTCTGTAACCTAGTACTTAGCACAGTAAAAACAGTATCTACTAGGTTCCTAATAAACTTTTACTGAATTTTTATCGCTGACACAGAACTAATGCTGCCAGATTTACTTCCAAATTATTATCTTGGTTAAATATAATTTAGTTCATATTATATAATATAGCTTACCAATAATTTAAATGGAATAATTAGGCGTATACTAACTATGAAGGAAAACTAGCAGTAGATAACTGAAATGTGAGGGGGTTAGAGAGAATTAGAAAAGGGTAAAGGAGATGGTGAATATAATCATTTTCTAGTTTGTAATAGTAAATCATTAATTTATTTATTTATTGTAAATCATTACATTAAATGTAAACAAAGTGCTAATCATTACAAGGCACATGCAAGAGCTATGTGCACACATCACTGGTGTTTATCTCAACTTTTCTTATTAAAATCCTATACTTACTACTTCACCTTTCTAAAGACATTAAACATTAATGAGGGCACAGAAGTCCTTATAACTGCAAACTGCTCTACTCTACACTTAAAAATTTTAAATTTATGTGTGTGCTGAGGGTGTAAGTGTGGGGGTAGAGAAAATATGGAAGCAATAAATGAGTAAGACTTGCTCCAAAGCCCTTAGGGTTAACAAAAGCTCAAGTGTAGCCTTGAAATGCAACCTAGAAAAGCCTACAGGCAAAGAGGAAACTTAAAAAGTCATACTACAATTAGATTATGTGTACCCTATTTCATCTATTCGAAGATGTACGTTTTTTCTGCACATTTTAATATTCCTGAATGGGGATACATGCCTTTTAACTAATGGTGTCATCGTTTAACTGACAGAAGTTTTTTCTTTCTTATATGGTATATAAAATTGCATATTAATGCTCTTAATGCCACAATTTAAAAATACAATTTAAACAATTACTTCCCATGCTTCTTATAACAAAAAAAAAACCTGTTTTTTTAAACCTAACACCAAGAAACCTCTTATGAACCTAACATTTCAAGAAACTCACTTTGCAAACAGTGGCTTAGAGTGTTTGAGTCTAGATAACCTATCATTTAAATATGAACTACTTAAAGTTCCCTAAATACTAATTTAAAGTCCTCTAAATACTAATTTAGTAAAAATGATAGTTCAATTTCGAGAAAACAAGGGGAAAAAACTGCTGTAATAACCCCACAGATCCCTAATCTGTAAGGTAACGTTGTTTCTCCGTTAGACCCAACACAAAAGGAAACCCTCATGAAGAAAAGAGGCTTTAAAATATAGAAATACATGAACACTGTGCTACACACTGCCCCTCAGGCAGAAATGGCAAGAGGGCCAGAAATGCACACAGGATTTAGACACTTTAAAAGGGTATCCTAAATTTAAGTCATGTGGTTTTTCTTTCTGATATTTTCACCTTTCCATCAGACATAGAATCTGGGGATTAAAAAGGAGAATTAGTGTAAAAGTCCTGAAAATTCTCTTGGTAATCTAACCTTCCTCTTTCAACCTAATCATGATGATCAGTATGATAGGAAAGCTCTGGTTCCTGGGAAATTCCCTAAAAGAGGCTGATAGGGCGGGAGCCAGCAGAGGGGAGAAGGGAACTATGAAACTTGCTCTTGGGACTTTCCACTGTGAAATCTAGAAATGAGAATTTCTTATACACTTCTGCCTTGTGCATGCTTACAGAAATAAAATTCAGATTATTTAAGAACATCTGCAGAAATTTTCTGTTTAAGAAATTTAAAACAATGTCTGACTTCTATGTGGAATGAAAGATTATCAAAATAATTTTCTAACCTATTACTAAACATATTACCTATAACTTCTTAATAAAAAGCATTAAATCTTTCCTTCACATAAATTATGTATTAAAATAGTTTCTCTACCTAAACTAAAAAAAGAGATATTACCTGGAATAATTCTGAGAAGTCCTACCTTTTCTTTGCAGCTGGAAAGCATGCTAATAATGCTAAGACAAACTGACTGGACTGAGAGCGCTGGGGACCAGTCTTCTGTTAGAATGGATAAACAGATATGACCATTGCTATAAACATGAGGATGAACGGGAATATTTTCACCAGTAAACATGACCTAAGAAAGAATAAAATTCCATTAACACTCAAATATTCTGTATTACCAAGAAATAAAATATTCTCCACAGAACTTATTATTTTAAAAATGAATTAAAAACAAACAAAATAAGTGCCAGAAACAAGATAAACAACTGCTTGTTGTTTATTCTCATCAATCCACAAAGTACTAGTTTCACTGTGTGAATGAGCACGTAGGAAATGGAACATACAGGGAAAAAACCCAGGTCATCTGTTTTTTTATTTCAGCTATTTTTCACAAATTCCCTTTAAAAATTTATAAATTACTATGCATTTTTGGCCCAGTAAACTATATCAAGAATGCTTTTTCAAATTCTACTCATTACTCTCTGCATTACAAATACTGAAGTATTCAATTTTCAGACAACATGAATTACAGGCGACAGGAACATCCCCTTCCAACCTATAACAATGCTATCACCTAAGGTGCTATGTGCAAAAGGAAATAACTGTTATATATATACCATCTCCTCTAAACTGGCTTGTCCATTATCATGGGTACAAATAACTACTTACTGATCAGCAAATAACTATGTGCTTATACACAAAAAAACAAAGGCTGAATGAGACAAGTTTTTCTCTGCCTTTTCTTCTACTCAATTCTTCTAAGTTTTTCCTTTTTCCACCTTGCCTCAGCACTGTTTTGAAAGATAATAAATCTATTATTCCTTCCTTTGCCCTAATAATTCATTAAGTATCCCAATAGTAATGTTTCTTAAACATATCTACCCTAAGCATCTGAACAGGCAGGAGAGTGAATTCATACATCCCAAAGAATCTGTAAGCACAGCCCAAAGTAGGGCAAAGGAAAAGACACAGAAGTCTAATATTTAAGGATGTTTATATTTTACTTCATAAAAAATTACTTATTTTGATATAAAAATTAATCTACCAATCTTTATGTGAATTTTATACTGCGGTAAGATCTAACATTTTTACTCTGTTGTTTAGTAGTAATTACTAATTCCTGACCTTAAAAAAAAAATCACCCGAAGATCTGGCTAAAATATAAATGCAGGGGCGCCTGGGTGGCTCAGTTGTTAAGCGTCTGCCTTCGGCTTAGGTCATGATCCCAAGATCCTGGGGTGGAGCCCCACATCGGGCTCCCTGCTCACGGGGAAGCCTGCTTCTCCTCCCACTCCCCCTGCTTGGGTTCCTGCTCTGTCAAATAAAATCTTAAAAAAAAAAAAAAATATATATATATATATATATATATATATAAATGCAAGAGCTCCACTTTCATAGATACTGATTCAGTAGGTATGATGGAATTTTTATAAAGCTCGTCAAATATAAACCAGTAGTTCCCAAACGAGACTTGCAGTATTCTCTCTTAGCCCTAAAACTGCCTCACTTGAAGACAGCAAAATCTTACTAAGAAGAAACCCCACCTTCAGTTATGTCAAATTGATGACGTATTTATTGTTCTAGGCATAAGTATTTTCCCCTTTATATAAGAGCAAAAAAGAGAGCCAGTGAAATAAGTGTGGCTAGAGTAAGGTATGTCAGCATTTAAAATGGGGCACTTACGGAAAGGTACCATAAGCTGGGTTTTTGCTTTTATTTTCAAGTATCTAGCTACAAATCTTGACTTCCCTACAATTTCACAAATATTTACATTTTAACAAAGCATTCTTTCATATAAGTAGGAGTCCTCTAGTATTTCAAGTATACTACTAACATATGGAAGTTGTTTCCTTGGCTGAAGCTAATACAAGAAAACAAAAGGAACTTTTTTCCTCAAAGGAATGACTTTACACACTTGCATATTTTTTGTTTCTTTAAATTTTAGTCATGCACCCTCCAGTCCCATTAGAAGGAGCTAAAATAAAGCTTAAAACTAAAATAAGTCTCAAAATAAGGGATATCACGTTATTTGCCCTGCCTGATTGCAGAACCCAATCTCCTACTTTAGCACAGCTGTATTTGAAGCCTATCATTTATCTCAATTTTATCTATCAGTGCTAGTATCCTTTTCATCACTTTTTGCTAAAAAAGGGCTGCTCTGCAAAAGGAACGGACTGCTTAAATGGTCTCGCAGCTCTGTACTTTTGAGTTTATCCACAATTATTGTAAATTTTATTTTTTATAAACATGTAGTTTATTCTATACATTTGATATTCCCACAATGTGTTATAGATGTCTAGAGTGGGAGTTTACAAATCTCGCAGAACATGCATCTGCTTTGGGGTATTCACTCTGCCACAAAATCCCATTTGACCAGTAGGATATTTTCCTTAAGAATACAGACAATGCCCAAGACCTTATCCCCTGGCCACAAATACTTTTTAAAGGATATTTTTTTTCCAATAAGGTCTCCTTTTTAAAAAGTCACACAGAACAGTGCTCTGAAAGTGCCAAAAAAAGGAAGAACTGCCAAGTTACCTTCTTTGGCAAAAATTAATCAATGCATCAGCAACCATCAAGGAAAATACACAGACAGCAAAATACAAAGGTTATCACAACATGCTCTGACTCGCCAATTCACAAAGCAGAAGGAAAGCAATAGTGCTCCTGGAGAGAATGGATTATAAACTAAATCACTTGGCCTGAGAGCCAAGAAGTTGCCACGAAGCAAAAGGAAACCAGGTGAGAGGAAAAGGGATGGAAAGCAGAAGAAGCCACCTCCAGCAGGAGCAGCAGACACTGATAAGCACCGAAGAGAGCGAGAAATTGAGACAGAAACAGCTTTGAAGGCTGAGGGGTCTGAAATAAAAAGAAATCAGATCTCCGTAAACCTTAAAGAAAGCAAAGCAAAGCAAAAAAAAAGCTGGGGCTTTTTAACATGCTGCATGCAGGGCAAATACAGCCAGCCTGAAACTTTCAGCAACCAAACAGGGGGCTCAATTAGCTGCACATATTATAGGTAACCCCTAGGGCCTAACCTGCCAGATACAGAATTTTAGAAGTTTGTCTAAACATGGAAAGGCTGAGTTTACATGCCAGAGATGAATTCCTGAAATAAAAGAAAAAACTTTTTTCAACAATTTATTCATGTAAAAAGGCTGGTAAGCAGTTTCCACAGACAGTTTTGATGTAAACTCTGCAATTCTGGTTCTTTGCATGTGATGGGGAAAGTAACCAAGGCTGAACTTCTTCAAGATCATGCTCTTAACCATCCTCATTTATTTAACACATGGTACAATCCAAAGGAGGAAATGGACATTTCAGTTATTTTAATGCAGCCAAGCAGGGTCTGAAAGCTTAAGAGATGATTAGCTGTTTTCAGAATTAAAAAACATTTTGGGGGGAATCCCAAGCAGCCGATAAAACTCAGATTTAACAAGACAACTGAATACGATGAATTTGAAACCAAAGGGAATAAATAAGAACTTTGCTAATTTCTTTACTTTAAAAATTTTTTTAAATAATTTATTCAAATTCAAACTTAGTCATATAAACAGTTAAAAACCAGAGAACTGCACATATTCATAAACCAAACAATAAAATGGAACTACAGATTTTAAAGAATAAGCTGTTTTACGAAAAAAAGCCACAATTTTAGAAAAGGATCTTAGATCTAATGCATGTGAATCACACCTGAAGTTCAGAGTCTGTATTAGAAGCAGTACTCAGATGAATCTAAATTTCCAAACACCTCCCTATCAGTATGGCATATTTTCAAGAGCAGGTGAGATCTAAGAAAACTAGGCTCAGTATCATAATTTTGGAGTTAAGCAAGCATATCCCACATCCAACCTGAAGTTTTAAGCAAGCCAACCTCTGGGTAACTTTTGGTACCAAATGTAGTGTCTCTCATAAAACTACTAATTTGAGAATGAAAGCCACCAATAATGACAAAATAGAGGATGGAGCTTAGGTAACTGTTTCTAATATCAAATTTATATTTATGAGTACATAAGGATTTCCAATCAAGCTCAATACTGAATGATCCCACAATACTGAGATCTGACCACAAGGAAGGCATGCTACTATGTTCAGACTAGTGTTCTGCAACTAATTAGAAAGTGAGACACCTAATATAGCATCAAACTAAGTCAAAACACATATTACAAGAATAAGCAGTACGAAACAAGCTATAAAATATAAAAGCTATAAAATATACAAAAAGGATACCAAGATTTCTTCAGGGGCAACATAAGGGAATGCTTTCTCATTAAAATTGTAAGTAGATGACAATGCTTAATGGGCAATTACAGAAACTGTACAAGCAGAATTTGTTGCAATCAGATATCTAATTATTAATAATATATGACACAGACAATCTAGCATAAATGGTAAATATCTGACAAAAGTAACTGGCGACTGGAGTCTTAGCGTAGTTTTTAATTCAATGCTCCCCTTTTAGTCACTTAATATGTATTAGTAGCATCAATATTAATAGTTTTTCTGGTCTTCCAAAATTACCCTTACCATGCAATTGTACAAGTATTACAAAGTCAAAATTCCTGGATACAATGAAACTAAATTTGGGTTCCCCTGGATGGTAAACCATTCTCTCTCCTTTGTAAGCTGTGTTCTTCTAGCCTACCAGTCTTCTTTATCTTGCCCTCTGCTTTACCCCCAAGGCTTCAACGAACAGCGTTCACTGTTCCCTTTCTCCTCGTCAGGTGTCCTAGATGCTAGACAATTTAAGGCAATAAAAATGGTTATTTAAGACTTTGGAAAGCTTAAACACCATCACATGAAAGAGCAAGGAAAATGACACAACAAATAAAAGGATGAGAATGCTATGAAAATGGGTTCTGGATCTCTGCAATGAAGGAGTGCTGAGCAACAGAACCAAAGGGTCTCGGTTAAGGTGCCATGAATAGGAAGGGGAATAAGGATGAGGAGAGAGCGACTACTCTTTTGCCCCAGTGTTTCTAAAGCTTTATAGTCAAGGTAAGTATATTTTCATCACCACTTTTAACATTGATATGGTTTCACGACTAAGTACCGTATCCTCTTTCCCCTAAAAAAAAATACTTCCCCACCTATTTCTAAAGCCTAAAATTTCTTCAACACAAATTAGAGTTGAAAAGCTTAAAAACAAAGTATAACCAGGATATTTACAAGATAATGTGTCTCAATTTTACTGCATTCAAATGGGATGTTTTGACAGAGGAAGGGGTTAAGTTTAAGGTCAAAGATATCTGGAAGGGAAGAGCTGCTAATGTGAGGGCGGAAGGAGAAAGGAAAAGAAGCAAAAACAGTAAAGACACTAAACTCGAAGACTTCACAGTTTGGAAGGAGAGGTGACTATACCTCCCAATTCCTTTGAGATAAATCTCCAAATCCTTTATATTGCAAGACTCTCTTGGATAAACCCCAAAACATCCTTCCTTTTTCACCTCCTGCTGTAACCCTCCATTTAATTGATACATAAAACTACATTTGCTCATAAATCTCAGAAGAAACCATGTCTTTTCATGATTTGCTCCACTTGTGACATAAACTCTTCTTCTGCTTTAAGTCCCAGTACAAACAGGTTTCTCTTTGCCCCCTCATTCTATTCTAAACCAGTCAATGCTTTCTCTTTTGCTCCCAAAGCATACAATTCATATTTCAACTTATGGTGCATCCAGTTGCACAGGCCAAAAGTTGTGGAGTCTTCCCTGACTCCTTTCTCTCGTTCATATTTCTTATCAATTTATTAGCAAATCCTGTTGGCTCAACTTTTAAAATAGGTCCAGGGGCACCTGGGTGGCTCAGCTGGTTAAGCGACCAACTCTTGCTTTTGACTCAAGTCATGATCTCAGGGTCCTGGGATCCCTGCTCAGTGGGGAGTCTGCTTGAGGACTCTCTCTGCCCCTTACACCCACTTGAGCTCTCTTTCCCTCTCAAATGAATATATCTTAAAAAATAATAATAAAATAAGTCCAAAATATGGCCATCTTCCACAACCTGCACTACTAGCTTTCTGGTGCAAGTCACCATCACCTCTCACTTGGATTACTACAGGAGTTGTCTGGTCTCCCTGTACCCTTGTACACCCAACAATGTGTCACACAAAAGCCAAATTTTTCCTTTTAATTTTAGGTAGGATTATGTCATTCCTTTGCTCAAAATATTCAAAGGTTTTTCATCTCATTCTGAGTAAAAACCAAAACTCTTACAATGGGCTATACAATCCATGACAGATCCTCCAGCCCAAGTTACTTCTCAGACCTATGCCCTTGACTTCCCCTCGTTTGTATACCACTCCAGGGACCTGCCACATGTGCTCCAGGTTCACAGCCTTTGCATTTTTTCTTCACCCGCTCTTTCCATACTTCATATGACTTACTCACTCACCTCTTTCAGATATCTGCTCCAAGGTCACCTTCTCAGTGAAATCTTCCCTGATTGCTCTATCCAATGTTGCAACATTCTCAATCCCCCTTTCTACTTTTTCCACCATCTTCCATACTATATGTTTTTGTTTATTGTTTATTGTCTCTTTCTACAAGAATGCAAACTCCACCTAAGGAGGTTTTTTATTTGGTTTTCTTCACTATTATTGCCAACACCTAGTACAGGGTCTGTTCTATGACACGTACTAGATAAATACTTACAGAAAGAATGCATCCACATCTGCCTATCCAAATACTAAAACAATTATTAAAGGCAGGCCCAACACCTTTTAATTTCTGTACTCTTTCATTTCTAAAGTACAGAGCACAATATTTGGCACATAATTTGGGTTTACTACACATTAAATCAGCCAATCGTTTACCTGTATCCTTGCACAGGAAAACAGAATACAGATATTTTATTTTCTGTATGGCTGATGGTAAGTGCACATTAGTAGAAAACAGTGATAGAAAAGTGCCTCATCTCTGCTCCCAATATTAAAAGGTTTTGCTGTCATTATTGTTTCTTTTAAAGCAAATGACTGGGCCAAACACCTTCTTTTGGATAGGCAGCTTTTTCACTGTAAAGTGAGATACATGAGAAATTAATTATAATTAGTAGGGAAAAGAGAACCCAGCAAACTATAAAGTTTATTATGGTCTTACAGATCTAACTTACTGATACAGAAGTAGTAGTAAGTTCACAATGAGACTAGTTTATTTTACGGTTATTTCCCCAAATTCTACTCTTTTAAGTAGTGATAAACTTAATACTGCTTCTTGCATAGGGAAATCAAAGACTAATTTTCTAATAAGTGCCAATGCTGTTGGGTCTCATAAATAAAATCTTTGGTGAATGAGGAATTTTACTGCCCTTGAGTGGTTCTAATCACTTCCCCAGAGTAATGGACCTCTGGAAAGTTTGTTATTGGAAAAATCCAAAATCTGTATGCACATCAAGTAATTGATGTGTGATTATAGATGCTGTGATTAATAAAAATTAAAATAATTAATAAAATAATTATAATATATATTATATATGTAATTACAAAATAAAAATAATTAAAAAATAATTATAAAGTATTAGTAGACTTAGAGCAGCTCTGTTATTTTCTCAATCACTGATACTATAATATACAACTGTGACATGAGAATGATGTTAAAAAGTGATATAAAATCTCTTCCAAAAGATTGCCCCAGAGCTTTCAAAGTTATCATTCTTTGTATTATCTTTCACTTTTAGAGATAACAATACTGGCTGGATAAATAAGCATTTTCCCCATTCTGGTACTCACACCTAATTGACAGTATGGAAAGGTGTAACTTGGGTTTGAGTCTTGACTATCCTATTAGCGAGCTTTTAAACCACAAACAAGACACTTTACTTCTAAAGCTTCAATTTCTTCACTTATGAGGATGAATCCATCTTCCCTAACCACTTCATTAGAGCTGTTACAAGATAAAATCAGAATGGAAATTACATTAGAAAGTATGATACAAATATTACTGCACAGCAGAAGGCATGGATGTAATGTGTGGCTGAAATGGTTAAGTTTGGACTTACATGAGAAGCTAAAGTTTTCAGACTTGACTCTGCAGAAAATAAGGAAGCATTAAAGGTTTTAAGGAGGAGGTAGGGATAGTTGTGGTGGTGGTGGTGGTGGCACTGTGTATCTGTGCAAATCAATGAGGTAACTGCACCTTCAAAGAAATCTAACAGCACTGTGAATGGATGGCTAGGAGTGGAAAGAACTAGAGGCTATTATGTATTAGTCCACATGAGAGATAGAAACTTGGACTACAGCACTGACAGTAGGGTAAGAGTGAACTGACTTAAGCACTGCAAAAGGATGTGAAAAGCTGCATCTAACAGTGAAGGGAAGAATTTCAATGCAAGCAGATAGGTGGACAATAACCCATGAAAAAAATTTTTTTTCCTTATTTTGTTACTGGAAAAGATGGAGTTTAGATGTGTTAAATTTGAGACATCTGGAGGTATTCAAGTAGTGATATCCAACAAGGGTGTGAAATTAAACCTCAGAAAGAAGAGGTTTTTTACGGAACTGTAGATCTGGGAGTTAGCTGCTTAAGATGATTGAAGATGTTAGAGAAAAGAGTGAGAATGAGGGGGTGCTGAATAAAGAACCCAGAGAACACCAAAATCAGAAGAATCAGAAGAGCGGGAAGAAGTCAAAACAGGGAAGGAGAAAAAAAGAATTTGAGATATGATAGAATCCATTACCAACACTCTAACTTACAGAAATATTCAAGATAAAATTCAAATGCTGCTTCAGAGTTTGATATTTGATTTAGATTTAAATACTAAGGAGAGAATTTAGAGGACACTTCTGACTTGGTTCATGTTTATAGAAATACTATTTTCCTCTGATGAAATATCTGTGGGCTCCCAGAGTAAGTCTTCTCCAATATTCCCCTAGTCAACAGTTTGGAGTTGGTGAGTGAGTCACATTCTTTCTTCATATACCTTCAACAAACTTAGCTGAAGTGAAGAACAGGTTGAAGGTGACAAGGAGATACCACTGCCTTCAAGGATTAACAATCTAAGATGATGCTGATAAGTCAAAAGGCTATAAAACGTGAAGATCATTTTCTAGAGAGAAGGAAGATGTTTGCTTTGGTTTATCATAGTCTACACATGTTTATAGAGGTCTAGAGGTCATGACAATACATAACCCTTAGCTTTATTTTTATGAAAATGATAAAAATGAGTTTCTTATTTTCTGCTCACATAAAAACTGCAGAACTCAAAGAGTCCATTTCCATTTAATTCTGTGCCTTTATTAAAACAAAGATTTCTTGTACTTACAGCACATTACAATAACTGACTTCCATCTATACTCCTACACTGTTTGGTATATTCTATTTAAAGTGGCAATGAAATATGATTTTCCTCAAAAATAACGTATTTCAGCACTTCACGAGTTTTAGCTATTTGAGATGCAGAACCTCATTATCTAGCATACTACACAGAGCTGGCATTAAGTCTTATCATTTTGCCACTAAAAACTCATTTACCCATCTCACCAAGTCAGAAATCTGGAAGTCATCCTAGAGTCTCCTTTTTTCTAACTTCCAAAAATTAATCATTCACCACAGTTAAACAGCTCTCAGTTAACAGCTCTCAAAAAAGTTCCTCTACCACCATTATCCCTTGTCTGAGTGTTAACCCATTAAATAAACTAACTGTGCCTCAAATTACACTGATAATCTCGTAATATAGTCTACCTTCATAGTACTAAAAGACTGCAAGGATAGCATGTCAATACAAAATCAAAGAAGTGTTCCTTTCAACAAAGCACTTGCCCCCTTACAATATCATTCTATCATCTTATCTAGGAATAAGTGCCTCTAGTTATTCCAAAATGCTAAGTTCTCCCACAACCCATGGGCCTGGGTTAGATTTCCATCCCCTTTTCTGCTAACATCTATTTATAAAAAATATTAAGTTCTTGAAGTACAAAAGCAGCAAAGCTCTAATCTCAATAAACTTCATATCTTAATTACATCACAGATAAGATAAAGGAACAAATCTATTCAAATAATTACAATGGATTTCTTTATAAGTTTGTATTTAGTCAAAAGTCACTAATTTAGTATTTTGCTATAATCTAAAAATACAATAAAATCTTAAAAAACAAGGCAGTTACCTGAGGAGAGTCAAAAGGATATCGACTACTAAACTTAAATAGAAGTTGAAACTTTTCCCCTTCATATAAGGTACCTGGTGCACCTTCCATGTCTACAATCCACCTAGAATAGGAAAAAGAAAAAAAAATTTAAAAATTTCATATAAGAAAAATTGGGATGAGAAAGAAAAGGGAACACTGAAGACTTTCTGTATACCAGGCACTGGGATAAGAGTCATTCATGTGCAAGAGGATACTTCATCCTCCCAACAATTTTAAAAGAGTAGGTGTATTAACACCCTTCTCTGATACTCAAAGGTTAAGTAACTAGATCAAAGTCAGACACATGGCAAAGGACAGAGCCAAATTTTAATCCAGGTCTGAAAACAAAATGAAAACCCAACTCAAGTGTGCTGACACCAAAGCCTGTACTCTCGCTACTCAATTTATGCTACCTTATTTTTCCAAAATACTATTTTTACAATGACTGACAAGCTCTACGCCCAACACAAGGCTTGAACTCACAATACTGAGATCAAGAGTCACATGCTCTACTGACTGAGCCAGCCAGGCACCCGTATCTCTCTCTCTTTTAAAAAAAAAAAAGGGAGGGGGGAATATGTTTCTCCCTCTGCCCCTCCCCCTGCTCATGCTCTCTCAAATATTAAATAATCTTAAAAATAAATAATTAAATTAATAAATTAATTTTAAAAAGGGGAAACTGGGGCACCTGGGTGGCTGAGTTAAGCATCCAACTCTCTATTTCAGCTCAGGCCTGCATCTTAAGCCCCGCTTAAGATTCTCTCTCTGGGGCTCCTGGGTGGCTCAGCTGGTAAGCAACTGCCTTCGGCTCAGGTCATGATCCCAGAGTCCTGGGATCAAGTCCCGCATCGGGCTCCCTGCTCGGCCAGAAGCCTGCTTCTCCCCCACCCACTCCCCCTGCTTGTGTTCCCTCTCACGCTGTCTCTGTCTCTGTCAATTAAATAAATAAATAAAATCTTTAAAAAAAAAAATTCTCTCTCTCTCCCCCTGCCACTCATGCACTCGTTCTCTCCCTTAAAAAATAAAATGAATTTAAAAAAATAAATAAAATTTAAAAAGGGGAGGGATTATGGTGGCAAAAATGATGGGGTCACACTGAGAAGTAAAAGTGGACCAATCATAAGAATCCTAATTAAAGCGCTGGCCAATTCCTTTCATCTTAAACTTTTTAGGTATAAAAATTTATTACTTTAAGTACAGGAAAACAAAAGGAAATAATACTGAGAATACAGTGTTGAGGTTCTAGTCATCACCCCACATACTATGGACTTAGAGGAGTATATAAAATAATAAATGTGCCTACTCTCTGAAAGCAATCAGCTAACATATACAGGGCTTTAAGAGCATAGCTATTCATTTTCAGAATGCATGTTGAATACCATACATGGTAATAAAAGACATGACCATAGAGCCAAGAGGCAGTATTTAAAAGGATTCTCATCTCAAAGTGTTGCAAAGGTAAATGGCATTACATATGCAAAACATGTAGTACTTTCCTGACACCAGCACCAGTACATAGTAAATTAAATATAGTGCATAAGCTGCATTAAAAAAAATAAAAACAAAAACCTATTCTCTTTACAAACTGGGTCCTTCCTAGCCATCAAAATCCCTTTTTATCCCTAACATCCACTATGCAAAATGATTATTCCAAGGAAAATCAGAGGACTTCCTGGCGCCCTTTAAGATTTGATTTGATTAACTGATTTGAGAGTACAAGAGCATGTGCTAGTGGGAGCAGGGGAAAGAACAGAGGGGAAGAGAGAGGGAGGGTCTCAAGCAGGTTCTGGGCTCAGCCCCAACTTGGGGCTCAATCTCAGGACCCTGAGATCATTACTTGAGCCAAAAACCAAGAGTCCAGTGTTTAACCAACTGAGCCACCCAGGCACCCCTCCTGGTGCCCTTTCATTCTCTTTATAAGGAAAATTTTAGGACAGAGATGCCTGGGTGGCTCAGTCGGTTAAGTGTCTGCCTTCAGCTCAGGTCATGATCTCAGGGTCCTAGGATCGAGCCCTGCATCGGGCTCCCTGCTCTGCGGGAAGCCTGCTTCTCCCTCTCCCACCCACCCTGCTTGTGTTCCCTCTCTCACTGTGTCTCTGTCAAATAAATAAATAAAATCTAAAAATAAATAAATAAATAAAATAAAAATTTTAGGACATAACGTACCATAAATTTACATGTGATCTATCCAAACACAGCTTTTAAATAATAGCTAAGCAAATATCTTAGTAATCCTTCCAATATCTGGATGAGATAGGTCAAAGGCAGCATAATTTTCAACACTGTGCAGGATAATTTTAAATAACTTTTTGCTAATTGAAAAAACAATATACGTTCACTATAGAAAATTTAGAACAGTAAAATAAACAAAACCACAGTATAGTCACTGTTGAAGTACTTTGGGTACATTTCATTCTAGTCATTTTGTAGTTTATCAATGGAACTGATGTCCAACAGTTAAATTATGTGTACACTTAAATTACATAAATTCAAATTATCAGTGTTTATGGGACACCTGGGTGGCTCAGTTGGTTAAGGGTCCTACTCTTGATTTCGGCTCATGTCACAACCTCAGAGTCATGAGCTCAGGTCCCATGTCGGGCTCCGTGCTGGGCATGGAGTCTGCTTAAGACTCTCTCTCTCCCTCTGCCCACCCTCACCCCCCCGGCTCACTCTCTCTAAAATATAAATAAATAAAAATTTTGAAAATGACAAAACAAACAAAAAACAAATCCTCCGTGTTTATGAGTCCAATTAAGGGCACATGTCCCTGAGGATGAATGAGTTCTTAACTTCTAGTAAGTAGCTACTGTTCTAGGATTCTAATGTTTAAACAGTTATTTTTCATGCATTCATGGTTCCTAATCAAAGAAACAGCCAACTATTCCCCTCCAAAGGAAAAACTAGCTCTGTTGGATATATTATGATATGTTATGACAGGATACACACCTTTTCAAAGGGATTATGTCTATACAAAATTTCTGCATTTCATGCTGACTACAGGTTGTAACTCAGGGGATACCATTCCACGGTCTAACTTTGAGAAACCATTTCCCTGTTACTGGTATTTATTTATTTTTAAAGATTTTATTTATTTGACAGAGAGAGACACAGCAAGAGAGGAAACACAAGCAGGGGGAGTGGGAGAGGGAGAAGCAGGCTTCCCGTGGAGCAGGGAGCCTGTTGCAGGGCTCAATCCCAGGACCCTGGAATCATGACCTGAACTGAAGGCAGATGCTTAACAACTGAGCCACCCAGGCACCCCTACTGATATTTAAATTGTTTCTAAATTGTCTCTAGAAATAGTACTGTTGAAATGAGTATAGTTAGTTCTAAGTTAATCTTTTTTTTTTAAGGTAAACTCTATGTCCACCGACATGGGGCTTAAACTCACAACCCCAAGATCAAGAGTTGCATGTTCTACTGAATAAGCCAACCAGGCACCCTTGGGTTAATCTTTCTCTGTCTCTGTTCCCTCCTTAGGTCAGCACAGGAGTTTATTTATTAGTTCAAAGGATATGATACTCTTATTTTTAAAGGTCTTAATACATGCTACCAAACTGTCTTCCAGAAAGCTTAATGTGTTTTTTTTTTATCAGCATTCTCATCCCACTTAAACATATCTTTTAAGATCTAATTTTTATAAAACTAGTTTTATATCCTGGAAGACAAAGATAATAAAACATTTGTGATACATTTACAATAAATTATTTTGAAAGAAAAACTGCCTGACATACATCTCTGAAAATGACAGGTTTATTCTGCAACAAAGATAATGCTGTTTTGGTAGTTAAACAATTTACGGTATAACTGCTTGAAAATCTATACAAATGTTTCCATTTGTACAAATGTAAAACATTCCTTTAACTTTTTATAAATCATTGTATTATATGGTTCCCCCACCACCAAAAAAAGGAAAGGTTGAAAGAGGAAGCACTTGATTATTACCAATGAAAATGGAATATAATGTTTAATTATACAGAACAAAAAAAAACTCATTTAATTATATAGAACAAATGTCATACACTCTAAATATGTGCTCCATTTTCACATTTTGTTTGATAGAAATGAAAAAATCAATCGAGAGTCACAAAAAGAAACAGAAGAACCTTAAATGCATATTACTAAGTAAAAGAGGCCAATCTGAAAGGCTACATACTGTATGATTCCAACTATATGACGGTCTGGGGAAGGGACAACCACAGGGACAGTAAAAAGATCAGTGGTTGGGGGGGTGATGAATAGCTGGAGCACAGGGGATTTTTAGGGCAGTGAAAATATTCTGTATGATACCATAATGATGATACATGTCAGTGAACATTTGCCCAAATCCTCAGAACATACAAGAATGAGTTATAAGGCAAACTACAGACTTCGGGGGATTATGATGTGTCAATCATACTTCATTAATTGTAACAAATGTCCCACTCTGGTGGGGGATGTTGATAATGGAGGAGGCTGTGCATGTGTGAGAGCAGAGGGTATGTGGGAAATTTCAATTTTGCAGGGAACCTAAAAATGCTCGAGAACCCAGCAATGTTTTAAAAAGACTGTTACAGAGCTAGAGATCTGAATCAATTTTCAAACAATATATCCATCCAAACATCAATAGATCCATTCTTCATATCCCCGTTTTTAAAAAAAGCTTGACTTCTGTTTTAAGTATGGACTCAAATCTCAAAGTCAAAGGTAACTAAAATTGTTTCTCTCAAAGGATAAATATGTGCATGAATTTTGGTCACTTTTGCTTTCTGGACCTAGAATACCACTTAGTATTTGAATTATCCTCTTTGTCCTACAGTTTGGTCTATAGTATACTTTTTACCTCGTTGCCTCCTATCCTATCCCTTTTATGTTTTTGAAGATTTTTTTTTTAATGTGGTTATTTGTTTTTGTTATTTTTAAGATTTTATTTATTTATTTGACAGAGAGACACAGTGAGAGAGGGAACACAAGCAGGGGGAGTGGGAGAGGGAGAAGCAGGCTTCCCGCAGAGCAGGGAGCCCGATGCGGGGCTCGATCCCAGGACTCTGGGATCATGACCTGAGCCGAAGGCAGACGCCTAACGACTGAGCCACCCAGGCGCCCGTTTTTGAAGATTTTAAGGAGAGGTTCCATTATTTTAAATTCCTTCCCCCCCGCCAATTTCAGAGCATTTACCCTTGTCTAACAAAACTATTAAGTTAAAGGAGTGATAAAAATAGCCTATACTGGGTTGTGAGATCTTAGGATGATACTCTAGAATAAACACTTCAAACTAATTCAAAGGCTCATCTTTACAAGAGGACACATACGTATCTCTCTACTCTTCTTGGGTTTGTATCTGGGAGAAGACTTCTTTGCACCCAAGGAAGGAGCGGAATTAGAATACTTCTGTGTCTTCCCTTCTATGCTTCACTTTTTTATCCTCATGAAGAAGTTTCTTACTATTAAAAGTGGTTGCTGAAGAGTCCGACAATCAGTTACCATTCTTTACAGGGCAATTAATGTGTTCAAGGATTGGAGACACCTCTTGACTACTACCCTCTTCAAACCTTTACATGTGGTTTTGAAAAATTTGATAAACAACCACATGCCAAACTGCTCTATTTTAGATGAAGATCATTTCATAAAAAAGTCAGACCAAAGCATATAGCTGCCTCTTTGGCAGGAAACACTTTAAAACATACTAATCAACATATGGTTTAAAAAAAAAAAAAAGGTTAACAAATCACACATTATATACAATGTGTATGATACTATTATGTAACACAAAATGGGGTATATAAATACATAGAATAAGATTTATTTACCTCTTGATGGAAGAGAGTGGGATGAAATATGAAAATTCCACATTTTATTTTATTTTTTTTTAAGATTTATTTATTTGAGAGACAGAGAGAGGAGAGGGGCAGAGGGGAGAGAGAGAATCTCAAGTAGACTCCCCACTGAGCGCAGAGCCCAATTTGGGGCTTGATCTCACGACCCTTAACCGAAATCAAGAGTCGGATGTTTAATCAACTGAGCTACTCAGGCACCCCAGAATTCTCCATTTTTAAAAATAAGTATATATATTCAGACTTTACACTAATAATAAAAGAAACAAGTACTTCAAAAATTAAATACTTACTGTGTAATTGAATTCTGAACACTCTTTTCATTTAAAGTCATTCCGGGAGGTGGGTCATTTTGCAAAGCCAACAGTTCTTTCTGCAGTCGTTTCTAGAAAAGAATATCAACAATAATTTGTACTTTGAAAAAAATGACAATATAAACATCCTCTAGCTTCACAGACTGAAATCCTTGAGTAAATTTCCTCCAAATGCTCACATCTTTTCCTTTGCAAGTCCTTTACATCTTATACATCTTATTATGCCTCTCTAATTTTTAATCGTTTGTCCTATAATTCACAATCAAAACACTTCTAAATATCCTGTTAACACTGATGCTGTAAAGTGGTTATGAAGAGCAGACAGCTACCTACAAAACTTCACTGTTACTCCACTGAGGTTATAAGATCTCAGCCTAGATTGTAACTGCTTAAAAGTTTTAGCAGTGTTTCCTTTACTACTTCCCAATTATAAAAACCATAGTTCTCCATCATCCTTAAAGAATGTGTCATTTCAGACATACAAGCTTTTCAAAAACACTATACAAGTAATCATACATGCAAAAAGCCTTTGGAAAATGTTCTGAATAACTTTAATTTACAATTTACAACCCATATTTGTTTTCATTTTTAAATAGGATACCTACACATAATTTAAACTTTCAATACTAGAGTATAATGTATCATGCATGGCCTGAGATATACTTTTTTCTCTACATATTAGATGTCCCCAAATGGCTATATTTTACATTCTTGTTTATATAGTTTTTATTGTTCAACTCTTCCCATGTTATCACTAGTGGACATTCTTTTTCAGTATACAACAAAGCAAAACAAAAACCATAGAAGGCCATAGCTTATGGGTTTAAAACCAAATAACCAATGTTACTAGAATTGCATGTAACTGGGGCACCTAGGTGGATCAGTCGTTAAGCATCTGCCTTCGGCTCAGGTCATGATCCCAGGGTCCTGGGATCAAGCCCCACATCAGGCTCCCTGCTCAGTGGGAAGCCTGCTTCTCCCTCTCCCACCCCTCTGCTTGTGTCCCCTCTCTCGCTGTGTCTCTCTCTGTCAAAAAAAAAAAAAAAAAAAATTGCATGTAACTATAAAGACTTTTTTAAAAATTTTTTTTTAAGATTTTATTTATTTGACAGAGAGAGAGAGAGAGATAGCAAGAGCAGGAACACATGCAGGGGGAGTGGGAGAAGGAGAAGCAGGCAGCCCAATGCAGGGCTCGATCCCAGGACCCTGGGATCATGACCCGAGCTGAAGGCAGACGCTTAACGACTGAGCCACCCAGGTGCCCCCTATAAAGACTCTTAATGAGCATCTTTTCCAAGCGTGGATATCTGTTCAGAACTCAACAATTCTCTGCTTAAAAGCTAGCTTGTGCTTTTTCTGGACAATGAAATATTACTAACAATATAGCAAATGTTTCTAGATCTTTTCAGTGTATGATACCTTCAAATAAGCTTAACATCACCCAACACCATTACAGATTAGAAAACTCCTCCCTTCTCCATTGAGAATCACTGAATAAGAACTTATTAATAGGCATACACTCGGCTCACAAGCAGCTATCTGTGGACCATCACACCTTTGCTTTGGTCTCTGTGGTCCTTCTGCAGTTACCTCCTACATTTGTCTGGCTGTCACCTCACAAGGAGGACAGACTATGCTGTTGATCACAGCAAACCCAGGGCCTAAGATATGCTAAAAACATTTGCTAATAAATCAGTAAAAGTGGAAAAAAAAATCTCCTAAATGGCTCTTTAAGTGGCCAGGAATGAAACCTTTCCTCAGATCTTGCAATATCACAATCGCTACTGACAGTGAAATAAAGTATCAGCTACTTGCAATTTCTGACCTCAGCTGTCTTCCAAAATGTAAAATAATTACAAATTGAAAAGTACTTAAGAAAAACTTTAATTATCTAAAATACAGAAATAAAGCTGCCTGAATAACTTGTTTTGAATAAAGGAATATATTTGTGATAAATTTGTTATATTAATTTATTCCACTTATAACAAATGTGGGTTATATGATCAAGTAAATGTTTTTATTAAGTTTATTTTAATTCCAGTATAGTTAACATACAGTGTCATATTAGTTTCAGATATACAATATAGTGATTCAATGATCAAGTAAATTTTTAAAAACACTGGGAACAAAAAGGAGAAACTGATTTCCTCAAAGGATTTCTCAGAGACTTCTGATACACTAACTGGCACAAATGATTCTCCAAGGGGAAGAAGGTAACACAGAGGTTTCCAAAGTAATGGAACCTCCTTAGTGTAAAGCATCTTGGAAAAGTCTTGTTTCAATAACCACATTTTGGGTAACACTGCTGTACAAATTCTCCTGATCTTGAGAATGTCACTAAAACAGGGAAAGCAAGCCCTTACTATCAAATCAAGGATGTATAGGAAAGTCAATGTGCATAGCTACTAATTGAAACGTAAGGATAGAAAGGTAAGCTAAGAAGAGTTTTATTGGTATGATTAGCCCTAGGTCTCCTGAACATAATGATAAAGGGTACTATGAAAAAAGAAATGTTTTCCACATCCTGATGCTACTTACATAATCACAAAGAAAGAGACCTGTGATGACCAAATTCCAAGAGAATCTCCAATTAACTCTGCTTCCTTATATTCACATTTTTCCGTAGTTCCTTCCCACCCTGTACCAAAACTGGTCAGTGTGACCAACAGAATATAGCAGAAATGATTTGTTATTCCCACGATTAGGCTCTAAAAGGCTATGGCTTACATTTTGGTTACTCTCTGTAGAATCACTTGCCATGCTGTGAACAGCCCAATTCAGAAGCTCACATGCTAAGATTACTGGCCTCCAGCTAATAACCACATGATTTGGAAGCATATTATCCAACCCTAACCAATCTTTCAGATGACTGTAGCCCAGGCCAATATCTTGCCTACAAACTAAAAAGAGACTCCAAGTCAGAACCATCCAGCTAAGCCTCTGATTCCAGACCCTTTGGACTGCAAGGGATTATAAATGTTTATTCTTTCAAATTACTGAATTTGGGGGAATTTGTTATATAGCAATAGATAATGCAGGACCTCTGCTCCAAACTTCCCTCATGAGAAAGGGCTATCATCCACTTTTCATTTCAATATCACAGGTCAGAATCCAAAACATTCACAGGACCACATTTTTTTTTTACTGAGGGGGTGGAGTCCCTACATTAAAAAGACAATTCATGGGGCACCTGGGTGGCTCAGTTGTTTAAGCCTCTGTCTTTGGCTCAGGTCAGGATCCCAGGGGCCTGGGATCAAGCCCTCCATCAGGCTTCCTGCTCAGGGGGAGTCTGCCTCTTCCTATTCATCTGCCTCTCTCCCAGCTCATGTTCTCTCTTGTGCTAAGAAATAAATAAAAGCTTAAAAAAAAAAAAAAAAAGACAATTCATGCCAGTTGCTTATTGTCTTATAGCTAGTAGGCAGTAAACGACTTTGCAAATCCACGTCCTCTCCAATAAAGAGATAAAGCAGGGCCAAAAGTTTGGGAGCTAATGAGTATTTACTAAGCTCAATAACAAAAGCAGCACTTAAAATCACAACTTAAAAAAAGACACAAAGAATGGAAGGTCAAGTGGTGTGTCTATTTGTCAGGTTCACAAAAAAACAGGGAATTTATCCTTCAGGGTGTATTCTTCTCAGAACAGTAGTTCATTGGAGAAGGCAGGAAATGTCTTTATTTATTTTTAAAAAGATTATATTTGAGGGTGCCTGGGTGGCTCAGTTGGTTAAGCAACTGCCTTTGGCTCAGGTCATGATCCTGGAGTCCCAGGATCGAGTCCTACCATCGGGCTCCCTGGCTCAGCGGGGAGACTGCTTCTCCCTCTGACCTTCCCCCCCTCCTGCTCTCTCTCTCTCTCTCTCTCATTCTCTCTCTCAAATAAATCTTAAAAGACTTTGAGAGAGAGTGTGTGTGTGTGTGTGTGTGTGTGTGCGCGCGCGCGCGTGCATGGGCGCACGTGCAGGGGAAGAGGCAGAGGGAGAGGAAGAAGCAGACTCCCCACTGAAAACAGAGCCTGATCCCAAGACCCTGAGATCACAACCTGAACTGAAGTCAGATACTTAACTGACTCAGCCACCCAGGTACCCTGACATGTCTTTAAATAAGCAATCAGTCCCCTCAAAGGTCCTCTGGATCTTCTAAGCAATTGGTTCTCATCAGCTATACTCAAAAACAATAAAACATGGGGTGCCTGGGTGGCTCAGTCGTTAAGCATCTGCCTTCGACTCAGGTCATGATCCCAGGGTCCTGGGACCGAGCCCCACACCAGGCTCCCTGCTCCACGGGAAGCCTGCTTCTCCCTCTCCCACTCCCTCTGCTTGCATTCCCTCTCTTGCTGTCTCTCTCTGTCAAATAAATAAACAAAATCCTTAAAAAAAAAAAAAAAAGAAACTGGTTCTAAGTTTCCTGAATCTGGACATAGAAGCTAAAAGAGAAGGGCCTAAAAAAATAGATGTAAAAAAAAAAATGAAAATTCCTACTCAGTTCAGGATGTGAAGAACTAGTGTAACTATTTAGAGATCACACCATGGAGCATCAATCAAAAGAAAGCTATTATCGCATGAGGAGGCATTCAGCTCCTAATTTTGAAGACAAAGTGTAGAAAAAGCAGATGAGAAACACTAGCAAAAGCAATGATACCACCCGCTGTGAATACCAGCATGGCAACATGGTCGGCTTTCCCAGACAGTGCTGAAAATGGCAGCTACAGACTGAGGTAACTGGCGATAATGGGAAATAACTGCAGAAGGTAACTACTGTAACCAAAGAAGTAGAACTATCCAGAAACCACTGGGAGGGGAAGAAGCCAAGAAATTAGAGTTCCAATGGTTCTTGGCCAAATATCACCCCTGTCTGTACCTAAATTGGTGAGGTATGGGAAAACTAATTACATATATTGCAAATGCACCATAATTCTCTGAATCTAAGAAACATCGTCAATCATAAGATACACCATTATTTCATGGAACACTAGAAAAGGAAAATTGCTGCCAATTAAACAATAACACATCACTGGTAAGACATCAATTCCAGATGTTTAAATATGAAAATATGTGCATTTAAAAATCTATCG